ACTTCTATATTAATAATAACAATAAAATAATTCCTAAAGATAAAGCTTCTATATTAATAATAAAAATAAAATAATTCCTAAAGATAAAACTTCTATATTGATAATAAAAATAAAATAATTCCTAAAGATAAAGCCTCTATATTGATAATAACAATAAAATAATTCCTAAAGATAAAGCTTCTATATTAATAATAACAATAAAATAATTCCTAAAGATAAAGCTTCTATATTAATAATAACAATAAAATAATTCCTAAAGATAAAGCTTCTATATTAATAATAACAATAAAATAATTCCTAAAGATAAAGCTTCTATATTAATAATAACAATAAAATAATTCCTAAAGATAAAGCTTCTATATTAATAATAACAATAAAATAATTCCTAAAGACAAAGCTTCTATATTAATAATAACAATAAAATAATTCCTAAAGATAAAGCTTCTATATTAATAATAACAATAAAATAATTCCTAAAGATAAAGCTTCTATATTAATAATAACAATAAAATAATTCCTAAAGATAAAGCTTCTATATTGATAATAACAATAAAATAATTCTTAAAGATAAAGCTTCTATATTGATAATAACAATAAAATAATTCCTAAAGATAAAGCTTCTATATTAATAATAACAATAAAATAATTCTTAAAGATAAAGCTTCTATATTAATAATAACAATAAAATAATTCTTAAAGATAAAGCTTCTATATTAATAATAACAATAAAAACTGTATTTTAAAAGGGTGAATTTAAGAAACAGAATGAGTGAATATGTTGAAATGAAAAGTTAAACTAGCCTGACCTCTCTTGTCATATCAGCACAGCGAGAATTAATACTTTTCTTCGTTCCATCAGGTCCATGTCTGGTTATTACACCCTCTAACGTTTTCATCTCAATCTTCTTTAACTGTAAAAATATCACATAGAATTCATTTTAATATCAGGAGAATGATTAATAATATAAAAAAAACAAAAAAAAAGAACAATGTCTACGCCTTCATCTTATACCTTGACTGCAATCACCCATTTTTTGTTTTACATTCAGTGATTTAATCAGATTGTAAGCCAGCAAATACAGCTAATCAGAACCTTGATTTCATCTGTAATTCTCTTTTAAAATCTTTCTGTCGAGGGCTTAGATTGGTTGAGTACAATCCAATCAAATTGCTGCACTCTGATGTAACATACCTTTTGTGTAGCTGTAACTGAGCGTGTAACCAGAACTTGTTTTCCCGTAACATCTCGTAACTGTAACCTGATCTGACCCTTTACTTCTCTCTCCCCTGCTATCTGTAAATATTAATAGGTTGATTAATGAGGATCAAATCAAAAAGAAAATCACAGCATCTCATATCATTGATTTCATTATGTAGTAACCAACTGCTAATAAATGATATCAACTGGAAGGGTGGAAGATTCTAACCACTAAAGACAATGTAGAAATTGAATATGAAATGAATAAGAAGACTGGCAATACCACGCAGTATGCAATGAGAGTTGAAGTAAATCAAGATGATGTACAACAAGATACAGTTTAATGAAATATGATGTCTAAAGAAAAACTTAGTCTTACCTTTGGATCATGTATAAAAGCACAGTTTTTCATGCTGTTAGGAGGCAGATCTCCTGAGGTAATATATTTCAAACATTCTATTATAGTCTGGTAATAAAATAAATAGCAAAATATATCAAACAAAAGTTTCATTATATGTGAAAAAATTTGAAACAGCAACAAAGAATGAACAAAGAGAACAGTGTACTGAGTTTATTACAGATATTGAATTTGACCAGGAATATATTTTTCACAGAATATCATAATTTTAGGAAATTCAAATTTGTCTGGTTTGTTTAAATTGCTATTTAATGTTTTGATTGAAGATCAACTGGTAAGATAGTGGACCACAGCCATATACGCCCACCACCACATGCGGATGGTAAATATTCAAGATTTTGGGGCAAGGGCAATAACTCTGCTTCAAACGGTCGAATGTAGCTCAAATTCGAACTTGATCTTCGTTTTATGAATATGTATACACATACCAAATTTAATTTGATTCAATCAAAAAATCTAGTTTTTAGAAAGTTTACAATCAAATGTTGATGGACGGACGGACAGGGGTGCCGACAATATACTTCCACATAGAGATGCTTAGAAAATCCAATTATTATCTAATAAATGTATATCCCAAGGTCAAACAATATGTTGTATTTCAAGTAACAGAAAAAAAGTAGATTCAGCAGGTCAGGAAATCATTTCTTGTCCAAATCATTCACAAAATTACTTACAGTTTTTCCAGTTCCATTCGGACCCAATATCAACGTCAATGGTTTAAAAAACTGGATAACTTGCTTGTCTTGCTCTTCAGGTCCGAAACTTCGTATCCCTTGGATACTCATTTTCTCTATGGAAGACATCCTCGATTAATTAATGTGATGGGTCTCTGGAAGAAAAATGAAATATTTACTTCTGTAGAGTGATCATTTTTTTGATGGATTTATGGCATAAACAACTCTAATTTTCATCTTCACTCATAATTCCAGTCGACCTAGCTGTAAATGGGTACGGATAATCCGGGAAAGATCAATGCCAAGAGGTTTGGTCAAGGGCCAGCTTGAAGAAAGGATCCTTAAATGTGAGCCTAAGTTGTTATCCTAGTAAAATATAGATGTAATTTAAATGATTATACCTCTGGTAAAGTAACCTTTTATAAATAATAGACAACAGGGACAAATATTGAAGGGGATTCACTATCAAACAAGTTCGTCTTGTTTACTCAAAGAAAAGATAACATGAATTGGAAAGTAAGATCGTAGCTATGGCCTATGTTTTACAATGTCACTATTGCAAAAGTTGCAATTGATAATAAAATTGTTTTGACATCATATAATGCTTAATTCCAGTGGAATTGCAGGAACCACAGACGTCTGATTGAAAATTGGAGTGGTGCAAATCTATGCTATCAGTATGATACATGTAAAAAGTTCTTTACAATCACTTTAAAAAGATGCAAAAGTGAAAAGTTTAGATATAATCTTTGCTTATAAAATACATCATCGAGATTTGGATATATTCCGCTCTGTAGCCCCCATTGAACAAAAATTTAAAATAAGTAATCTTATCTGGTCTACTTTCACTTTCAGTTTCACTCAGTATTTGGACAGACAACTCATCATAACTATTTCAAAGATTAAAACATGTGATCGGAATTATGACAGTTAGTGATTTGTTTGCCGAAATGACCGATGAGTTAAATCTTACTAAATGTAGCCATCCATTTAGCTTATTACCTGCAATGTGGAAAGTTTAAAGAAATTTCAATTTTCTTCAGTGTAAACATCCGCCATCTTCCCGCAATATTTTAAGGAGCAGTTATTATTATAGTGGTTTTAATATTTTCATTTAATCATTGTGGAAAAAAAAAACTTGTGGTACCATTAATATTTTCAGAATTTAATTTTCAATATTTTGGATATTTCTTTAAAAGAATATGCAACAAAAGCAATTACAAACACGCAATAATAATTACTCCATAATTCAATAGACTTTTCTATCCAATCCAATGACGTCTAATTGATCCAGTCTCTCACGATTTCATCACAGGGCAAACTATTTTTAAAGGAAGGAAATGCAACAGATTTTGAAGGTGATTTTTGGAACAGAATTGCGGGGTTCAAACGAAGAAGTTTTTCTTCATGTCTCTGTTTTTAAAGCTTAACACGACAATCGGCTTTAGGATTTCATATTTAAAGCGTAAAAAAATTCACGAAAAAAGAGCAAACCATTTTTTACATCTTCACAATGTCAAGCTATTGTCGAGAACTCTGATTGACTGTATCCGCTACCGTAAAATCCAATTGATTTCTGAGACACAAGAGGAGTGGCTATTGCAGTCAAGGTTTTAGACGCAGGTTGTTATAGCTTTACAGTGTGAAGATGCTCACTTTAAAACAAAGAGACCACAGGGAACTGTTAAAATACTACTGTACTGGATAAATAGGACTATCAAGGGACATAACTTTCAAGCCTTTAACCTATTTTGGGTAATTATGTTATCATCTCGATTTGTTGTAAGTTTTTGTGATGGACAATTTTCCTTCGACGAACTTTGTACTTAAAATTCACACTATGAACTTTAAACTCCAGTCATTTCTCACTGTACATTGAAGCCAAAAGATTAACTGCGGCAATTCCGATTAAATTGAAAAATTTCATTTTTAAGAATGCTGATTTATCCCCCTTTGACCACAAATGATGAGGACTTGTCCATTGGAAATTGGGGGAAAATTGGAACTACCCCTTTCCGTGGACTGGAAATTATATATTCTCGAAACGATTCTAGCGCTAGGATATCCCAGAAACAATGTTATGAGTTAAGATCCTAGAACACCCTATAGCGCTAAGATCGTTTCGAGAATACTTTTGCCAGCTGTTTCACAAAAGGTCGACTGAGATAAAACCATGATTAAAACAATTCAGTAGAATAAATTGATTGATTGATAAAGCTAAACTAAAATCAATGTTATAGTTATTGATAATGACCAATCAGACGGCTCGAACACTAAAATCATTTTCATTTTTAGAGTAGGCCTAGGTCTCAGTAACTTTTCCTCCTGTCTACAAATAATTCAAATTCAAAATTTCTAAATTTAGAATATAATTATGTTCTTATTTTACACGGAGTCTGGAATTTCTACGAGTCTAAGTACTGCGGGTTAATTAACTAATTAACTAATTCAATGAATAATCCTTTAATGAAATAATTCATTCCATATTTCTGTCTATGACTTTATAAGAAGAGTTTCCCACACAGACTGTTTCTATTGCTTGTTTTTATCTTGTAGGTTTAAAACTAGCTCGGTTTCTATCTTGAACAGGTACGTTTCTTTTTGGCTTTTTTCATTGTTTTAGTTGGCGCTGTATAAAACTCTGACAAATGTGTCAATACCGTATTACGATGAATATTTAACCACGAACGTTTATATAGCTTACTAGAACTTCGATCTTGTACTACATATAAAATCTTCCCCAGGGCAGAAGTTAACTTTCTTATGACAATTTAGTACTTCGGTGCCAGAGCAAATTCGTACATAATATGTAGGTTCGGGATTTTCTCCCTTTCCCTGTCTGCAAAGATCAGTTTTGTCTTTATATATATATATATATTACTACTAATAATGTTGGTTAAAGTTCCTTCGGAAACACTCCCAAATGCAGTGGCCCCCTAGGGAACCATCCAATTTTCTTTGTATTGTGCATCGATTGATTCAGTTAGTTTTCGGATACGGCAGGAACAGATAGTACCTCAACGTGACAGCGTCTTCTAAATTCGAGTTCGTTTCATCACCACCACCATGTCGGTTTGTCAAATTATATTTACTCGACTTGCAAAATACAAGTTCAATGTTTGGAGTGAGGATGTGAAGATTGGACCGAAGCCAGACGAAGACTGAATCTTTGATTGACACGCATCGAAATAGTCGTCTGCTATCTGCGAGATTTCTGACAGAAATTATTTTGTAGCAGAAGTGGAGGTTTTCTTCAGAAACTTACCATATAACGCCATTGATTTGAGTGTTTGTTTTGGGAAATATTTGGACCAAATTGAGTCAATTTGATACATTTTTTGGTGAAATTCAGATGGGCTGAAACGAAGAATCACACACCCCCATTGAAATGGTTTCGTCCAGAAAAGATACATTCAGTAATAGTGGAGAAGTCAGCGAGAAGTTGGATCTATTAGTTGAAAGAGGGAATAGTTTCGTCTGCTATATGTTGGAAGGTGGGTTTAAATTTTATTGAACTGATTGTGGATAAAGATGCCGGGTAAGTTAATTATCGATTAACAAGTCTTTTCAATGATTTCTATATATTATTGATATTTCTACACAAACAGATCAAACTGTCTTTTAAACATATCAATACAAAGGGAGTTGACATGATGACAGTTGACCTCTAGATATAGATACATAGATAGATATATACAATACATATCGTTATCAACGGTGATTTCATCGATACAATATTCAAACATACGTTAAAAAATAACAGCAGACGACAAGAAATTGCAGCATGGATATTTGACACACAATTTTTGAATATTTACCTATATTTATTATATACCCTTTAATCTGATACACGTATATAATTTTCAAAGGGGCATAATGCCCTACGTCGATCCAAACTGAAACATACGTTAAAAAAATAACAGCAGACGACAAGAAATTGCAGCATGGATATTTGACACACAATTTTTGAATATTTGCCTATATTCATATATACCCTTTAGTCTGATACACGTATATAATTTTCAACAGGGCATAATGCCCTATGTCGATTCAAACTGAAACATACGGTTGAAGAACGACATAGCAGACGACAAACATCTTTTTTACGTACAATACATATCGATATTGCTTAAATCCTTATCGCATACTTTGGAATAGCTGATGATAATTCCATATCGTAAAATTAACATGATCACTTATCATTTTCATATACATGTAGATATGCATTATCGATCGAAAATAAGCTAGCAGACGACACAATTTTTTTCATATAAATTCTTTCGACTTTAAGCAAAAATGAACGCTACTGGTTATCATTTGTGTATGATATATCTCTTAATTTTGATCTAAAGATCCCGACCTTTAATCTCCTTATTTAGACCACCGCGGTCCCTATATTTAGGATGAAAAGCCATGACAAGGAGCCTGATGGAAACACTGCAGGTCAAACTGAAACTGTATATATATATGAATGAATCTATTGTTCCTATAGTTAATTTAACAGGCCATTTACCATGTTATATTAATGTATATATATTTGAACTTTCGACAGACGTCGTTTTATCATTTATACTAATACCAATTGATAATGTTCGACTATTTATATAGATACGTAACCAAACATTGAAATAAAACCTGAAATATCTCATTATTCAGATGTTGGCAAAATTCTGATATTTTCTTTAAGCTTCAATAAAGGCAGTTTACACGATGCGGGGCGGAGGCAGGGGGGAGGGGGGGGGGGGGGGGGGGGGGGTGAAAGGGGAAATTGACCCCCCTTGT